TCTTCTCAAACGATGGTGAAGTGAACAATTAATCTGCATCGAAACGATATGAATAAAACCTGATGATGACAAAACCTTGTCGAAACGTTGTACATTTGCTGTTATGTTAAACTTATATTAAAGTTTTTCTTCATTACCCATTCAAGCCGTCTCCAGCCATTATGTATAAAGGTCAGTTCAACTTAATTGCCGATTGTTGACTGACATTTCACAGTAAGGTGGCGGCGTAGTTTATTCCAGGAGATTAGTGACACCAAGGACAAGGGTTATTCGACACGAAAATGTAATAAAGTCTAGCTTACGCTAAGTCCATCTGCATGACAATAAGTCCAAGTGATAGTCAATTATAATACATTTTTTTACGCGTATACACTTTAATTTTGTTTAAGCTTACGATTTAAGTCATTTGTATGTGTTTGACCAAAGTTGTAATGGTAAATTGCATATATATATATATATATATGTGCGTGTGTGTTCAGTTACATACTTTACCTAAGAAACTAATATAATAAAAAGTCACATGTTAAGTATGACCATAATTATTTTTCTTTTGGTTTCAGTAATAAGTGTCTTTGGTGGGGCAGACGGACCGGCTTCGAGCGCACTCTGGTGGTCATATCAATTTTTCTCTTCGTCGCATGTATGGTTTTGGTATTAGTTAACATACTGATCGAAGGTAAAGTATATACCTATCTATGTATATTACTGAAAAATATTTTCTTCTAGTCTCAGTTATTTACAAAGTAAAAGTAGCCACCATTTCATACGAAATCATACACCATTGTAATTGTTAAGTATTTATTTGCTTGAATAACAGCATTTAGAAAACCTAAAAAAAAAAAAAAAGATTACGGGATTAGAAGCTAATTAAGAGAATTACACGATAGCTTTTTTTCTAGTGACATCAGCGATTATTATCCTTATTTAACACTGAAATTACTTGACGTTAAAGTTATAGTTGGAAATTCGTGTTAATACATCTCGTTTATAAAACCCTGTCTTTCATCCTTGCCATGTTAAGTGCGTGGAACGCCTAGTGGTTAGGCTACTCGACTCGTAATCTGTAGGTCTCGGATTCGAATCCCGTCACCCAACATTCTCGTCCTTTCAGCCACGGTGGGTGTTAAAACGTGATGATCGATTCTACTATTCGGTGGTAAAGTGTAGCCCGTAGCCCAAGAGTTGGCGATAGGTAGTATTGACTAGCTGCCTTCTATCAATTTAAATTTAAGGACATCTATCGCGGATAGTCGTCGAGTAGACTTGCGCGAAGTTCAAACAAACAAACAAATCGCTATGTTAAAAGTTACTTTTCTAAGAATTGTGTCAATTAAACTTGATACTGATTTTTTCTTCTCTCCAAATTTGCCACTTGTTAATAATGAAAATTTAGTGTCTTTTAAAAGGTTTTTGAATGGCGCTTCAAGCATACGAATGTTATTTCCAATAACATTTGCTTTACAAGTATTAATGCTCCATAAATAAAGCTACCAAATGGGCATACACTAAACAGTGGTGTTATGTGAACAACAACAACAAAAACACACACACACACACGTTACGCTTGAACTAACGGCTGATGTTTTCCAGTAATGTTTCATAAAGGGTATTAATGTTATTTAAATATGATTTCTAAGTGGGATTTTCATGTGGCTCATGCCAAATAGCGGTGTTCATGGAAAAAATAATTTGTTTACATCGATTCGTAAGATTACAAGAATTGAAATACATCTTGAAGTAAATCCCACGAAGGCCCAGATTAGAGTTTCAATTACAATGACTGCAAGAAGAAAGGAAATATTGGCAATAACAAATCCAATAAAATCTTGTGAAACTGGCTACAACAACAAACCAGAAAGAATGGTGTTTAGTTCAATTGCTCTTCGTGTTCACAACCCAGATGAAAGTTTACAAAGCTGTTTAATGATATATTTGCAAGAAACAAAAAGATGACATTTTGAGTTCTGACAAATAGCAATCAATTGTTGCTTGTTTTGTACTCAATCTTTTGTCATCATCTTGAGACACGTGACTCCAGTGCCTACGAGCAAACAATAACACGAAACCTTAACTGTTCAACAAACTAAACCTATGTAATCAGCCGGCAAACTTGTATTGTTCAACGGTGTACAGTGAAACGTGAAAGATGCAAGCGGCTTTGAAAGAGTTAGAGAATAGATCACTTATATACATTAAGAAAACGGGTGAAGCCAATCACAATTTTTAAAGAGAATTGGTCATATTTAAGCCTCTCGTTTTCTGGCCTCTCTGTCAACTAACCTTGAGCTAGGTACTTTGAAGCGAAACGTCAATTATAAAGTGAAAATTTCCTATATTATTTTAGGAAATTATACATTTTCACTAAAAATTCATGTATTATTATATTTTATATATATATAAACTCATTCATCCGCTTCAATGTAATCAGTACTAACACTTTTATGAGTGAGCTATGAGTCTTCGTTTAAACTTCCTTTTTGGACATTTGAAAAGAAAATCAATTTTTCGAGAAAACGCGACGATATAGATAAACATACAAGTATAAGAGAAGGCCATAAAATCGTGCCCTGTTTTATCCCGAGTTTGGTTTGTTTGCTTGTTTTATCCATATCCAGAGTTTTTTGTTATTTTTTCTTTGTTGTTGTTTATTTGTTTTAGCGCAAAGCTGCACAATCCTATCTGCGCTCTGTCTACCGGGGTTTATCGGACCCCGGATTTTAGCGCTGTAAATCCACAAAGTTATCGTTCACTCACTGGGAGGATCCCCCGAATATGAAGACTGAATTCCAACGTTAATATGTCAATTCGCTGCGAACAGACAGACGGAGGGGCAGAGGAAATCGCCGTTTAGACCCGCCATGCATGGGTTCAGGATGTTTCTTTCGTTATCTCAAAAGTGAAAATAGAAAACACAAAAGTAAACTCTTGTATTTATGGGGTTTTTTGTCCACAATAATGCAATATTTTTACCAAATAAATAATAAATAGCCAAATTTGGAGCTTATGCTGTGAAATACTTCACATCAAAACATCTGTGTTATTAGCAATTAGTTACATAAATATAGCGAACAAAAAAAGAAATCTGTGTATTCAATTTACTCGGAAAGTAAAATGTTTAGAACTATTATCAAAGTGTAATATTGTAAAACAAATATTAAGAGTAATATGAAACTAAATATTAAGAGTAATATGAAACTAAATATTAAAGTAACAGTGTCTTAAAACAATTATATTACTGCGTTGTGCAAATCGAAGAGCCTAGTGTATGTAGAAACATTAAATGCAATAAACAGAATGTGTGAAAACGAGATAAAGAACTATGATTGACTATACCGTAAAATGGCTGACTTCTGAAATCATAAAATGAAAATGGCAATGTTTGAGCCCAGTGCTACAATACTTTAACAACGTTTATTCATCAAGATAATTACAAAGCAAAAATCGTATAAAAAACAAGTTAAAAGGGCGAAATATTGCCTATAAAAATTATATTGTAAATAATAAATTCTCCCTTCAGACTTTATTGAAAACTAGTAAAGCTCATAAAACGGGTTTATAGCTATTTTAATAGCAAATTTACTGTTCTGTTCTCAGGAGCGAGGTCTAACGACCACCACAACCTTCCAAAAATTCTAAAAGGTCTAGTATGTTCTGGTACTTTTTAAATAAACACCTGACTTGCATATAAATCATTTAAATGCTTTGGGTAAGAGAAATGGTTCACATTTTTCTGGGAAAATATTCCCCACTCCACAGTGCTGGATATGTCTCTGTTTCTTAGGAACATCATCAAGTTAACTGAACATGCTACAAAAGTGTTATGTAAAGTGATAATATTGTATCTTTTACCCTTTTACTTACTGTTGAACGTACTAAATTGGATCTCTAGTTCAAGTTCTATCCCTTTAAAGGCAACAGGAAGAAAATGGAGCAATCTGTCCACTTGACTAAAGGGAGTGAATGAAAGATTACATGTTTCATTGAAATTGTTGAACACCGAAAAGCGCGCGCTTTACGGCCAAATAACACAGATTTGGATAGGATGGGATTTGGCAACTCAGCAACAGTGCGAAACGTCACCAAACAAAAAGTTCTTTCAGGATCAGAATCATGTAGAACAATTTGGAACTTACATCAGCAGACAACATTGGTATATTAAATTTACTGTGGAATATCGAGAGAGTAACAGCATCTCCTTCTTAGATGCCCCCCTGGTGGGTCAACGGTAAGCATGAAGGCTTATAATATTAAAATTCGGGGCTTGACCCTTACGATGGGCACAGCGCCGATAGCCCATTCTGCAACTTTGTGTTCAAAAACATTTTTTTACTGACAACATTTCACCATTTCTATTTGTGCTTTTGTTATATGCCGAAGTTGTTCCATTCAACTTTTAAAGTAAAAAACAAGTTAAACAGCACTTCTTTTACGGATCAGAAAGTGTTTACAATCACTCAAATTAATTGTATTTTAGTTACACTCTTAAACACAATAAAAGAGGTGGAGACAGCCTGTTTAGTGAAATGTGCGACCTGTTTGCAGGTCTCTTATAGCCCTACGGTGTGGTTATGATGCAAATTTGTTTTAAATTTTCACGACTAACAAAGATATAAAGAAATAAAATTCAAACCACTTGCGTGTATACAACTTTTCTTTCAGCTTCTAAGCTTTGTAAAGTGGTACGTTAGGTCTATAGATTCAAAATTAGGGACAGCTAGCGTAGATAGTCATCGAGTACATTTGCACAAAATTCGACAAAAGCACAAACAATTCAAGAGGATACCACCCAGTTCCGGGTGCATGCAGCTCTTACGTAGTGTTGGAGGGTGTGGTTTCCAAAGAGATACCAAAATCATGCGTGATATATTATATGGAATATAAAGTTAAAATGATTCAGACTGATTTTACCATCTCCATCACAGGGAATCAAACTTCGGATTTTAGTGTTGTAAATACGTAAACTTACCGTTGTCCCACCGAGGGACTTCAGTTTGGACTTTAATACACTTTTGTCCAAGAACTGTAAATGAATTTACCCCTTCTGAACTATTTTATAATTGAAAGATGTCATAGAATTATAATTCTAAATTCAATATCTTAAAAAAATCCTTTAAGAAACAAGTTTAAATCTAGTGTCTGATTTCCATGTGTTCTCAGACAGTACAACCCTAAAGCAAAGTCTCAACAATGTTTCTTAGACATTTTATAAATAAAGACTCTTACCTCCAGATTTATTATATTTCTATTCTGACGTTTCGGTTTTACGTCTTTACCAATTATTTTTCTCTTTCACAGTTTGTAACGCAGACAAGAATATCTTAGATATCTTGTAAGTAACGACACTTATCTTCAGATTCATTTTACTTATGTTCCTACGTTTCAGTTTCACACCTTTTACTGTTATTTCACTGTTTAATAGTAACTCTTATAAAGAAGTACCTTGCGGAATAATTTTTGTTTGTTTGTTCAATTTCGCGTAAAATTGCTCGAGGGCTATTTGTGTCAGTCGTCCTTAATTTAGAAGTGATAGAATAGAAGGAAAGCATTAGTCAATAGAACCCACCGCCAACTCTTGGGCTATTCTATTTTAGCGAATGGTAGGATTAAACCTGACATTATTACGGCCAAACGGCTGGAAAGACGAACATATTCTGTGACGGGATTCGAACCCGAGAGGAGAGTGTCCTAACCACCAGGCCATGCCACGCCGGAAATTATAGATAACCAAAAAAAAAAAAAACAGCTAAAAATGTGATATAAAAGAATAGTTAAAATAAGCTGTTCTGTATCCTATTTATTACCAAACATTAAGGGATAGCTCCAGAACTACGAACTTCCAGAAAGGTAGTTTTCGAAATTAGGGCAGAGTAGCTGTAAAGGAAGGACTACTACCTTATCTTACTCTAAATTTTCGTGTTACTCCTATTTTGGGCATTGAACAAACTAAAGATGTGAAATTTTTCATCACAGAGGTTTTCCTGGTGTAATATCACGAGTTTAACACTTTCGAAAAATGGTTATACATATGTCTGGAAAAAAGATTCCAAATATAACATGATCCTCATTGATGGAAAAGGCTTGAAATATGAAATGGTCGTTATTCATAGAAAAGGCTTGAAATTTCACATCATCATTATTCACGGAAAACGCTTAAAATATAACATGTTCGTTATTCCTGGAAAAGAATTAAAATATGGCATGACTGTTACTACAGGAGAGGGTTTCAAATAGGGCATGATATTAATTATTCCTGAAAAAGACTTGAAATATGGCATGATCATTGTTACCGTAGAAACTTACTGTAAACCTGTTTTGATGTGTGATAAATCTCCCAAAGGTTCACAAGCCCCCTTCCCCTCAAATAAAAAACAAACTTAAAAGTTATAATGGCTCTAGGTAGCGCGAATTTGATATGGATTCGCTCTCAGTAACAAACGCAGTGAACATTTTAAATTATTTTCTTTGTTCGATTGAGAATTTTGTATATACTTGTACACTGTTAGAACAAGATGGATGCGAAATATGAAGTTCCGGAAATTGTGATAACATAACTCACATACATTTGCACACTTTTACAATTTTGGAAACAGTCATTTTTTTTGGGGGGGGGGAGGATGCATCGTCTGAAACGAAACTGGGGACGTTATACGATATTGATGTCGAATGTCACCTTATAATTGAACCGATAATTTAATAATTTATACACACTCAACCAGTAATATTATACATCGTACCTGTTTGGTGAATTTACACAAGTTTACTTTATCGTAACGTTTATATAAATCTACATTTAGATTTACTATATTCATAAAAAAAATATTATGTTGGTAGTTGCTGTAGAGTTTCTCATACGATGACGCGTGACCCAAAAGTTGGGTTGCCAGAATGAGAAAAAAGAATCGCGAACAGACTGTGAAAATAGATAATAGTTTACTTGCTTAGTAAGTAAAGTAAATATTTACTGAACCAGATTTTTGTTGTTGTTGTTGTTTGCAATAAAATTATTTACTGAGTCATGACTGGCCATTAACGATTACAAAAGTGTCCTGAGCAAAGAAAAAATGTTGAGAACCACTGGTCTAGTAGTTATCACGTTCGAACTGCCTTCCCTCTTGTCTATCAGCTCAAAATTAGGGACGGCTATCCGCATATAACTCTTGTGTAGCTTTGCGTGAAATTCTGAAGCAAACAAGTAAAATATTCTGGTTGACTGTGTGCAAGTTATTAAAATGCAGGATAAATTGTAAGGTTACACTAGACGCCCATAATACGACAGTATCAAATCCTCTGAAAACGAACTTTTTCAGATGTGAGAGCTGAGCGTGCTATTAATTTATCTGACATATTTTGAAAACATCGCCAGATAAGGAAACTGCGTGAGTTACACGGTAGCACGAGGTCATTTGAAAACGTCATCAGATAAGGAAACTAAGTGAGCTATACGGTGGTAATAGTTATATGGTAGTAAGAGATCATTTCAAAATGTAATCAGATATGGAACTGAGTGAGTTATATAGTAGTAATAGAGCGTTTGAAAATGAACGTCGAGTAATAAGGAAATTAAGAACGTTATTACACTGTATCATGATAACTCTTGGGTTCAAATTATTTTTTCCTCATTTTCTCTGATCAGTAAAATAGTTGTAAGTAGAATAGAGATGTCATTGTTGGTGTATTCTTATATTTTTGATTTTCACAGTGAAAGTAAGAAACCAAGCGAAAACAGCACCCAAAATTTGCAACACGGGGGAATGTATTCATGCAGGTAAGAAAGATGATGAACAACGTATGTCACATTATTATTTACATGTAAGCTAGTTGATGAACAATGTCACAGTATTATTTGCAGGTAAGCTAGTTGATGAACAATGTCACATTATTACTTGTAGGTAAGCTAGTTGATGAACAATGTCACATTATTACTTGCAGGTAAGCTAGTTGATGAACAATGTCACATTACTACTTGCGGGTAAGCTAGTTGATGAACAATGTCACATTATTACTTGCTGGTAAGCTAGTTGATGAACAATGTCACATTATTACTTGCAGGTAAGCTAGTTGATGAACAATGTCACATTATTACTTGCAGGTAAGCTAGTTGATGAACAATGCAACATTATTATCATTAGTACCCAAGTGCATTTTAAAAATAGGACAGAAGTTAATCGAGTGAACTGGTGTTTTGTTACTGAAAGACAGAGTATATGACAATATACCTTCTTGACACATACTTTAAAGTTTTTTGTTGGGGGGGGGGATATTTCTACATTATTTTTCATGAAATAGTACAAATATTTTATTAATAAATACAATTATTAATTCATTTTTACGTTTGCTTCCATTTTAGTAGAAAACACTCATTTTGCTTCGCAGGCCAATAAGGTACACATGAGTAACTTAATTAAGGGTTGTTCTGAGCATAATACACCTAAGGCCTGTAAGGAAATTACGTTCAAACATCAGCAAAGAGCGATACAGCTAATGGTACATTAACACTGTTTTTGTTATTTCAATATAAACATCTTAATCTAAGTTGTGTTCGTTCTATTTATTAGCCTCCATCGGGTGATTCAACTGCGATAATGTTTTTTCTTAGATTGATAAAATAATGATTTTTCATTTTTTACCAAAGAGAAAGATTGTAATACACATTTTTGCTTTAAAATATGCTCCCTGCCACTTTAGTGGTAGTACAATATGTTAATGTTGATCTACTTTCATTACTTAAATATGACCAGGGAATCATTTTCAGATTAGAACAAGTAACTTTAAACAGATGAAAAGTATGAAAGAGAAGAAAAGTAACTTTAAACAGATGAAAAGTATGAAAGAGAAGAAAAGTAACTTTAAACAGATGAAAAGTATGAAAGACAAATAAACTAAAACAAGAGAAAAATAAATTCATAAGATCCAGATAAAATCAACCATTCTACAAAATGTTTGATCAAATTATTTTTTGCTTTAGTATCAGTTTTAGATAACTAATTTTTCCTTTAATACTTTGCTGTATGTGGATTTATACATATTTATGTACTTCATTTAGTTCTTGTATGTTAGTCGTAACACGTTTAACATATTGAAGAACTCAGATTAATTTTGCAACATCGTTTCCTTCTTCTTTTTAACGTATTTTCTCAGCTTCGAGAATTCTGGAGAGAATTGACCCAACGGCTGACCCCTGTAATGACTTCTACCAGTTCGCGTGTGGTAGCTATGTAGAAAAGAACACAGTTCCTGATGACCACTTCATCCGGTCACTGATGCAGACCATGCAAGATGATCTTATGGTCAAGGTCAAGAGTAAGTAGTCGTTCAAAGGTGAATGAAAGAGTTCTTTGGCTTTTTGCAGTTTCTAAGAAAAAGCTAAGCCTAAGCTATAGTTATCATTCATGAGTTTCAATCGCTTCTAGTCAGTAGAACTGCTATTTAACCATTTCCAGTCAGTAAGACTGAAGTAAACTATTATTAGCAAATAAACTAAATATTTAATTTGATCTTGCACTACTTTTTCATATCATAAATGTGTTCTAGGTGGTGAATGTCCATGACAGTTTGTTGAAACCATCCACTACTATTAAAGGATGAAAGCGAAAAATGGCTTAGTAAATGGATGTGGTGTTTATTTAACCTCCTTAGGTTTTTCAAATAATTTCATCCACACGTGGAGCGTTGTTTTTGTTTAGTCCTTTAAAATTATTACAAGTTTCGATTGAAGTTATTCTCACACTCTGTAATTTCATAATTCAAATGTCAAATCCGTTTTATGCCGAGACGGCACTTAAAAATCGGTGCTGAACTCCGGCTTCAATGACATAAGTAAATGAGTATGGCGGCACTAGAATCCATCATATAGCTGGGTAAATCGAAACAACTGGGGTAAAGTGGCTCGTTAAATGACACGACAGTATGTCGCGAGCAAGCCTAAAACTCGCAACCAATTCTACAATGAGTCCAAAGCGTGCAGTCACTGAACCAATCTACCCCAATAATCTCATTATTATAGTTTATAAAGTTTTGTACTCAGTGACGGAAAAGACTCGGGAACTAATGCCTTTCCAAGGTTATTAACTTATTGGAGATCTAGATGATAAAGGGACATTGATTATAAATATTTAGAATGGGTATCGTCCATAAATTGGTTTGCTGTTAGAATAATTGAATTAATACAAATAAAGCTAAAGCATGAATCAGCAAATAATAATAATAATACGACCCGAAGAATATAGACTACTATTGAATTATTTATAAAATTTTAATGGCACCCAAAATGTAGTATATATATATATATATATGAAGCAATTATATTAACTTACAAAATTAAAGAAATGTGAAAGAAATCTAAACTGCACAATCTTTCCCAACTTCTAAATCTCATGAATAACGGTAAAGGAAACTTCGATGGCTTTACTTTTTCATTTTCGTTCATTCGAAATATAATGTGCCATGTTTCAATTCTTTTGAGTTAAAAGAATTAAAAAAAAAGCTCTTAATGCGATGGTTACCAAAATTCACGATAGCCAGATTTTGCTTGCGCCACGTTAAGTTTAAAACAACAAAATATGTTTTGTTTCTACAATTTGTTAAATTACGTCACGGAATATTATTTAGAAATAGGTTTAAGTTATCATACTTTAATAGCCAATGACAGTATTTAGTTGAATCATACTGTTGTCACCATATCATCATAAAAAGTGCATTTTAATCGGTTTACATATTCTTTAATTTATTACAATACTCTCCATGATTATCTTTAAAAAATTTGAGCCTATCCAATTCTCCGGCTGCGACTTCAAATCCAGTCCCTTTAATATGCTCCAAATTTCTATCTTATTCCAGTAATTCTTCCGGAACTTCATCATCATATACGTAATGCGTTTACACAATTTGAGAAGTCATTGTTAGGTTGTCTTGACCACCTGTTTTTTTAATTGAACAGAAACTAACGATAATGTTATAAAACATACACTTCTATTCCCAATTGTGTCCACGTGGGCTACGTTTTAATGAGTGACGATTCGACTAAATTGAAATGTGTAGCCATCCTGAGAGTTCGAGAACTCTATTTTAAGCTGTCTTGAAAATGAGAAAGTTTTCTTACCCCGTTTGATTTATCTTATTTTCTCCAGAGCTTCTGGAGGTCCCTGTCAAATTTGAGGATGGTGAAGCTATTAGCAAGGCGAAGATGTTGTATTCGTCCTGTATGAACACCAGTAAGTTACTTTCTTCAGCTATCTACTTAATACAGAGGGAGTATGTAATATTAAAACTATTTTCAATATGCCAATAAGCAAGTCACGTGAAAATCACAGCCTGTATAAAATCGCGATGGAAAATCGTGTATCAGAATTACATTTTGACGTTATTTTGCGTTTCGGACGTAGTGTGATGTTACCGTAGAATGATCGATTTTGAGAAGGGTAAGTAGCAGCTCTTTCAAACGCAAAGTATTCATACACTAAGATCATAAAGATGTGTTCAGATCGGAAATTTAGAATATGAAAGACGAGAGCATCCCTTGTACTTAATGGCATTGGAAAACAAAGAAATGTGGATCAACTTGGAGCAATGACGTTTCTAGGATTTTTTATTAGGAGGGAAATGGAGCAAAGAGCTAGTTGGGTACGAAAGGGATTTATCAAAATCTTAAAGGCTCCTGATGTCTCAGATGGGGCTGCTAAGGGAAAAAGTTCTCCAAAGGGGGTCTTCCCCCACGCCACCCCAATGAACATGCCAATGACTTGGGGTACTAGGATCAGTTATCATCCAACTGTGGTAAGCTGTGGTAAGCAAAGTGGCATCTTGCAACATATGGGAATTCACGAGCATAAAGGCCGATGGCAAAAGCCGTCTATGTGCTCCATGCAACAATACGCAACATAATTAAAAATTATCTCCGTGTGAAAAAGCCACACAAGCCACGTGTGTACAAGTTGCTTCCACAACATATCCATTCAAATGTCTCGTATCTTAAACACCTGGATAATGAAACAGGTATTTATGGTATTCCATACGAGGAAATACTGGTCAAGTTGCTGGATGTAGCGCCTATGGATTTCTGTGCGATCGAGCAGTTGAAACAAGTTTATGGGAAGCCTGCAGGGAGGAGAGTCGTGTTTTAGATACGACAGCCAATGTAAACTATGCTTCAGAGCTTTGTCAAGATGCACGGTCGTCAGATAAAGCATAACTGGGCGTAGCGACATGGATTGTAACGACGTGTTGAGGCTCCAAAATCGTTTTAATATAACGTACTCAACCTCTGTAACTAGGTTTGTAAATAAGTTAGACACTTTGATAAATAAGAAAAAATCTACTCTTGTTTGTTTGTAATTAAGCACAATACTACACAATGGGCTATCTGTGCTCTACCCACCAAGAGTATCGAAACCCGGATTCTAGCGTTGTAAGTCTGCAAACATACCGCTGTGCCACTGGAGGCCTACTCTTGTTATTACGATATTAGTGATAATTAAAAGAACTTTATATCATATTACTCTTTTTTAAAAATAGATATTTATGACTCATTTATAAAGGAATTACTATATTCAAAAATCATATTTTTTGTTTTTAAAAATATTACCACTGTAGTTCGATTCTCGGCTTGACACTGACAGCGTTTTCTACTGAACAAGCAAGTTATAATGGCTTGTATGATTTTAGGTTTTATCTGTGTTCATATATTATAGATTTTTTTCTTGTTTAGTCAGTACACTGAAAGTTCTTGTTCAAGTTATTTGTCAGTGCATTCCTCCTGGAAGCGGAACCTCACAAATAAGTCAATATTCCGCTTGACATGTTCTGTGCCTCTTCGTAATTCAAAATATTTTCCACTTAATTGTTTGAATCTAGCTATTTGTTGAAACGACATTGCTAGTGTAAAAATGAACCTATCTAGATGTGCGAAAAGTAAGAAAAAGTGTGGTCCATTTTCACTATAGTGCATTAAACTATAAATTAAAAAAATGACACCTACTAACATTATTTACAAGCCAGAAACAGTGCACAATCAATAGTTTAATTTTCCGTTACAAATGATGTGTCTATGGTATTTATTTTATCTGATATCCCCCACTTGTTCTTGTTTGTTCATTTCTGTACAGCTTTTATTTCGCGTCTGATATTAATATTCAATTTGAAAAAAAGAAATCACGAGTTCTTAAAATAGAAAGGAATGAAATTTTATCCAACCAGACCTTAGAACGTTATGCACAATAAATTAATCACTGTTGTTTTTTTGTATATACATATATATGATAGTCTCCAAACCAGACCTATTGATTGGCGTGATCGGACTGTAAGTCAAAGAATTCATGGTTCGCGACCCATTGCCGTAAAAACGCACTTCACAATTTAAGGCCGTTCGTGAGCTATAAGAGGGATCGTAAATCCCACTATACGATCAGACTGGTCCAATAGTTGGCAATGTGTCTGTTGATAACTGCCTTCCCTCTATTCTATCAATTACAAATTAGAGACGGCTATGCACAGATAGCCTTAAGTAGCTTTGCGCGAAATTTTGAAACAAAAACTTATTGGTGACATGAAATTTTCACTCAGATTCAGTACACCACATCGCGCGTAAACGTCACTGACTACAAAACGTGATTAATATATATTATTCGTTTGTTTTTTGTTTGTAATTAAGCACAAAGCTACATAATGGGCTATCTGTGCTCTGCCCATCACGGGTATCGAAACCAGGAATCTAACGTTGTAAGTCCACAGATATGCCGCTGTGTCACTGGGGGCTATATTATTCGAGCAGGATGATATAAGTGCAATTCAAGCCTGCAGGAGCGGGGTACATATCAACGTTTGTCAGGGTTTTATAAGTGTTAACTATACAACTAGTTTGAAACCATTCCAATATTTTTCATGAATCCGAAGTTTATGCCTGTAATGTGCATTTACCGAATATTTTTGGTAACGTACGACCTCTCGAAAACAATGTAGCCTCAAAGTACCAACATTGTTACCTCAATCAAAAATGAAAGTTTCAATTTATAATAAACAAGTGAGCCGAGCGTGGTCAAGTAATGATTAGCGTGCTGAGTTGTGGATCCGAGGACCTACGGTTCGCACGTTATGTTTGTTTGTTTGTTTGTAATTAAGTACAAAGCTACATAATGAGCTATCTGTGCTCTGCCCACCACGGGTGTCGAAACCCGGATTCTAGCGTTGTAAGTCCGCTGACATACCGCTGTGCCACTGGGGGGCGCGCACGTTATGAAAGTGATGATCAAGTTGATTAAATTACCTCAAACGTTAACGTGTATTGTTAACCAGCTGCCTTCCATCTTAACTATTAGGTCAAAATTAGAGATGGTTAGTGCAGATAGTCCTTGTATAGCTTTGCACAAATATCCGAAACAAACAAACAAAACGATTATAAAAAAATAATAATTAGAAATAGCAAATGTGAAGCATTTTAGAACACTATTATATTTATGGTAATTTTTACTGTAGAAGTGTGCCAAACTGTTTTTAGGTTTAACGTACTAATCCATGTTGTATTATTATTAATTGTATATACTCGCCCATTTTTTGATTTTCCCTCATTTTCCAGCCAAGTTTTAACAATTGCAGTTATCAACATTTCAATTAAAAAGGAAGCCAAATTTTAAAACAGCAAAACGATTATTTTCTTCCTTAATTAGCGAATTTTTTCAGATAATATCTATTGTGAAAAACTACTTATATGTTTATTGATTTATTTCAGATAAATTAGTGTAATTTTTCTTTTTATAACTGCTACTATTTAATTTGAAATATTCGTTAAAAAAATAAGGGAAGTATAGGATTCGATCGACAGCCTAACAGGATAGATTCCTCTACTGAAAGAATTCTAACCCTATTTGTTACCCTCGATAGGCAGCGTAGAGGACGGGTCTATCGTACAACTACTGGAACTTCTGTCGGAGACAGGTGTGGGCGAGTGGCCATCTCTAATACCAGGATGGAATAAGACAGACCTTGGGTTAGAATGGCGACTGGCAAGGCTTCACTTCCACCAAGTTGAACCATTCTTTCATTCATACATTTCTCGAGATGATAAGAATTCGTCCAATTTCCTACTACACGTAAGTACAACTATGTCATAAAACCTTTAATATGATTTACTTTGTATAATTGACCAGACTTAGTAGTGATAACGTAAAACACGAGTAAAAAAGGCGAATTTTCAGTACTTTTTAAGCCTCTTTTGACATGCCACTATGTTTTATAATCACATCTTTATTTTTAAATTTTATATCACATATGTACATATGTGTGAGCTTATGTGGATGAGTTTCCCCATATGTATGTGTATGCTGACTGTCACTTTTATAAAGAACCCACATCTAAAAGTGCGGAGCGTATTCAACGCCATCGAAGCTCTAGCCTTGGGCCTTTCAATACGCAGCCTAGTACTCTGGGAACAAAATCCTGAGATGATAAAATTAAATATATATATATATATATCCGCATGAGCATCTTTACAGGGGTTACCTACAAAAATGGGTTATTATAACTTGTAGGTTTCGCTTGCATATCAAGGCTAAGGTCAATTAGAGGTCACAGTACATATTTTTTCCTTGTTTATAATGAAATGTGATCAAGGCTTATGCCTTAAGTCCCTTTTTTATTTTAATGTCGGCTTAATAGCCAGAATACACTCTATATGTCAGAAGTCAAAGCCATTCTATTGTTCCTTTAAAATCCAATCACACTCAATCAAACTACAAGTTCTATGTTTGCATAAGCGTCGAGAAGAGGAAGGGGAGGCCGTGGAGAGGTTGTTGTCATTATATTTAGTAATAAATTTGATGACGTGAGTTTTAAATTAACTTTTTTTATTTCAAGTACTTCTTAACCAAGATATTCTTGAGAAGTGTTGTCAGTGGTAGTTTGCATGGACAATGCTAATTGAAAAAAAAGAAAGATTGATTGTTTCTTAAAGAAAAAGTTGTGAAACACACATAGAAATGAAGCGCGTTGTAGGGATTAATCTATCTTTCAATAAACGCACGTATTTTACAAATTTAACAGATGATTCAACGATCTTCCTCCATACACCTGTTTGGAGGTCGACATTGTAGTGCAAGCTCACGGTCTTACGAAGTGAATATCGATCCCAATCCCCTGTCTACAAACGTAGATTTATAAAACAGTCACTTGAGTGCGCTTAATGTACCCGAGGAAAATGTGAGTCGATACACACGCTTTTCAATTTGTTTCAAAACCTAAATTTGTTAGAAGTGTTTCCTTTTTTACCAGTTTGTTTCATAATTTACGAATAGTTCTGTTAAGTTAAGATGAAAATTAAGAGTTCCTATTTTTGTTTCGTTTCTCATACATACAAATGATTTTGGTTGGTTGTTGTTAAATACAAAGCTACACAATGCTCTATCTGTATTGTGCCCAACCCGGGATCGAAACCCGATTTTTAGCGTCGTAAGCCTGCAGACGTACTGCTGAATAAGTGGAGTACACACAAATGAAGAATTAGCCTACAAGAATTCATAGAGCAGAAAATCATAAATTACACATCACATAAGTGATCTTGATCTGATAATCATCATTCTATAAATACTAAACAAGGTAAAAACATAAGAAAATTAAAGCTCGTTACCTCACCTTCTCGTTCCCCGAGGACCATGCTGCGAAACAGAAGGTCCAAGGTTAGAGCTACGATTCTGCTGAACATTCTGCACTTTTAGTTTTGGAAACGTTATAGAAATTGTAGTTATTCCTGTTATTCGGTTCAAATACAGGATAAAGCTTTTGTTGCTCAGTAATTAAAATTAAGGACGTATATACCTGAATTGAACGGGTCCCTGACCCGTTCTTTTAACCCATGTGCACACAAGAAGCTGTACAGTTTAAAATACGAATACCTCTTATTTCTAGCATAAGCTACCTGCGCTCCGCTGTGGAGTTCAAGGGCCCCTTCATGATTCAGGGTTCCCAAGGTAATGATCAAGCTTCTCCATTATCTTCAATTATTTCTATAAATACCCCAAGGGGGGTCCGTACTCGAAAGCTAACTTTGTTAGGACATCCGCCTGTGGTACCCACTGGATCCCAGGGGGTTCGGGAACACAAAACCTGATGCCAGAATTTGTTCAGCGACCCCGAAAACCTACTCATAAACTCTCATCATTCCTGGGTGTCCTTGTGCATTTTAGCCCCCCCCCCCTTAGTACGGGACTACGCAGTACACATAAGGACACTCAGTGTCCACTGCTAAATCTGGTTCGGATAGCGCCAAACTGTAGGACTTCGCGAACAAATTCATGAACACACAACGTGAATTAATATGGAATACTGTGTAGTTTAGTTGCATATTTTATGCTATTGTATATTTTACTTGGGTACGATGTTATTTATGACGTCACGATATTCTTAGCTATAATACTTTTGAATTTTTAATTAATAAATAGCTAAAATTAAAATAAGGCTTTCTTAAGTGCAGGAGGATCTTTTACGTGTAATTCTAACGTATTTAAAACTTTCAAGGGAATAAATTAAATATTTGTCCCATCATGAAGCTGGGATAGAAAAGCCTGTAATTTACCAGCTCTATTGGGCAGGAGGGTAAGTTAGATAAATTTGACCATATTGAAAATTACTTGCACATGATAACTCCAAGGCTTTTGAGATGCGTGGCATTGTATGGGAAAGTGGGACAAACTAAATTGATAAAGTAAACATTGTTGTTGATTCTAACAAGAGGCCGATAAATCTAATAACAACGTGTTTTAGGTTAGAAGCAAGATTATTAGTGGCGCTTTCAATACGTGGGCCGAGCGAGGCTTACTCTTTAGCGTTCACTGACTGACAATACGAAGATTCATGGTTCGCGCCCCATAGCCGAAAAAAAAAAACTCGCGCTTGCATTTTGGGGCAATTAAGTGGGGCGGTGAAATTCAACTATTTTATCAGATAAGAGTAGCGCAATAATTAGCTGTGAATAGTAATGACCAATTCCCTTCCCTTTAGCCCATCATTTCAAAATTAGGGACGACTATGCGCGGAGAGCCATTCTGTAGCTTTTCGCGAAAACTAAAACAAACAAACAAGTATCATTATGATTTTCAGAACTCGTTCAGGAATATATATATATATAATTTATGACTGCAAAATTATTGCATTTATTTACATTTGTGAATTAAAATGTGGGAGAGTAAAAACTGGTAAATTTTCGTAAACCTAATTGACTGATTTATGGTCCCGACATTTGTCGCCTGACATTAAACAAGATTATTTAAATATTTATATTGTATATTAATTAGGAATAGGTGAGAGGTGAGAAGTGGAGGTTAGATCATTTCGATCATTTTGTAATTGCAGGGATTTACTTGGCGAGTTTAGTGTCATGTGATAGTTGTAGATCAGAACAATTCATAGTTAGTATTTGTTTTGTCTTATCCGTTCAGTCAGACGGTATTAAGTAAATCAATATTTTTAATGTAACCTGCACTACCATTACGTTAGAAATATGGTAATTTCAGCCTAAACGACATCTTACGCAACATGTGAGCTAAACAGCCAGGTCAGAGACCCCAAAGTTTAGACATAGCTACTCCTAATTTCAAACATCTGACCCAGGCGAGTGTAACTTTCACCAGTACCCGAATAGTGGTATTCATTACCACTTTAATAACGTGTCAAAAACTAAAAATACGAATTGTATCCAGTGGCACGATAAGGGAACGAACTTTGGGCCTTTCGATACGCAGCCCGATGCTAATTACTAGATCACATCTTGCATTTGGAGCCAGTCTATACATATAATGTTCTATCACGAATCCTCTATTAATAATATAGATGCGCCTTAGGTGTGCCCAGGAAATAATAAGTTCTAAAGCGGGTATCTGAACATTAGGTTTAAGACTCACGAAGAGAGATACGCTGAATATCTGAAAGATAAAAAATATTTTTAAGTAACTTCTTTTGCTTTCTTCTTTGCTTTTTTCGACTTTTTTATTCTAAATTTGTAAAAGCATTTTCCTATTTTGTTTGAATTTGTGTTCTATGTTTGAATATGATTATACCTTTCCTTATATTCTTGTGTAACGTTTTGTTTTCCTTGAACCTTTTGTATTTTTTCTGTTTCTTTATTATTTTCAATCATTTTTATCGGGAACGCAGTTCAATATACCTAAGATTATTTTCTGGGTTCTGGTAAATCCCTCACACTGCAGGTAGCCTAATAGCGTAGAAATATCGACAAAAAACTTTAATAGAAAAATGTACGTCGACCAGGTTGATATACAACTTCTAAAGAATTGGAACAAATCCAGAAGCGGTTTCCAGCAAAAGAAAACTTCTTGATTAAATTTAACAGTTTAGAATAAGAGGATTATGTTCGACATTGGGGAATTTCAATACCTTTTCACAAGAAGTTTGGTGTGATAGCTTATAAAGAAAAAACTGAAAACATCCTCTGAATGTGAGACTGGTGATTACAGGTCAGATAGATGTGTTTTACAAATAGTGTTCAGTTCTTAAAGTTTTTTAATAAACTGTATTATAATCCATCATTCTAATCAACGCCTACTTCTTTGGTAATACCTACGACAAGTTGAATCGAAAACAGACTGTGGGTTAGTAGCATTGTGAATAAGTTATCTTAAAAAATAGCAAAAATACATCAATCTAAAAGTGTGTGTATCAGCAGAGTCGGCCTTAAGGTACAGCAACTGTCTAGGACCCCCTGGCTACGGGGAACCTGCATAGCTATTTTTATAACTGGTTCTTAAAGATAAAGCTGTACAACCCCACAACTCATACGGTGAATTAACGAACATATATATCGTTCTATTTTACAATTTCTGTTATTGAATATGATTCCAAGAATCAATAAACTCGTTTCAAAGCGTTACATATTCAGATGTTTTTGTTTTTTATAAGTAATGTATGGTCGTCTTCCTTATAAATAAAGTAATAATTGTTTATGTATTTGTCTTCCTTTAAGATTCAGGAGAAGAGTGAAATTGCGGATTTCTGGTTTTCAACAAATTAAAGGTTTTGGTTTACGAAACAATATGCTGGATTATAATTTTATCTTGATAGTCAGTAAAAATTCGTGCGCTCAAAGGATTGTTTTGCTTGTATGAAACAAATATTTTTACTATCATTACTTATTTTCAAAATTTTAATTAGCATAAGAAGCTCCACATTGTATTTTGCCTTGGGCCTCGTAGGGGGGGGGGGTAAGGACCGACGCTGTATGTCATTATTCATATCAGTGTGTGATTGACAAAAGTCAACTTCGTTTATTCCCTCCAGAGTATAGTACATGCTTGTTTTGTAATAAATGTATTCTTTTTTTACAACCTTAAATTGGACATGTACATCAAGCAAACAAGAGTGGGTCAATAATGAGAAAGTCGTTAATTTTGCGTCGATGTCTGTTAGGTTTTTAAGCTATTGCTTGAAGGCTTAAGCTCGAGACTCTTGTTGAAACAGAAAATTTAGCGTGCAGTTCTAGCTGTCAATATCAAGGTTGCGTTCAAAAACTCGTTTGGCTATAAATGCCAAATTTACTGGAAAATACTTTACATCCTTCTCCCTCTATAAAAATTTGAATTCATTTTGGTATGAGTATACCAAATTTACTGGAAATTACTTTACATCCTCCCCCCATCTATAAAAATTTGAATTCATTCTGGTATGAGTATACTAAATTTACTGGTAATTACTTTACATCCTCCCCCCCCCCCAATAAAAATTTGAATTCATTCTGGTATGAGTATACCAAATGTACTGGAAAATACTTTACATCCCCCCTCTATAAAAATTTGAATTCATTCTGGTATGAGTATACCAAATTTACTGGAAAATACTTTACATCCTCCTCCTCTATAAACGTATGAATTAGTTCTGGTATAACTCCCAAAGTTACTGGAACATATTCTAATTCACCTACACGTATAAATGTATCGAACTCATTTTTTATGAGTACATCAATATTGCTGGAACATACATCACATTCCCCTCCCAGTATAAGCATATGGATTCATTCAGGTATGATTAATTAGGCTATTGGAACATACTCTGCATCTCTCATATATGAAACCATTCTTGTATGAGTTCCAAGGTTACTGGAATACCCTGTACAAACACAAACCTGCCCATGTATAAATGGATAGATTTGTTCTGTTATTATAACATGTTATTAGCATATACACTTTCTGAGATATGGTTATGTCCTTCAAAGTCTGTTAGTGACATCTTATATATAAATATTAATCCATTTATCAGCTACACAGCGATACTAGCGTACTCAGCCCTGACTACTATCTAAACGCAACAGAGGAGAACCAGGCATATATTCAGCTCTACAGAGAACTAATAACTGAGACCTTGAGACTTTTTAACGCAGATTCTCAACAGGCCGCTAAGGACGTTGAAGATATGATTGCTTTTGAAACCGAATTTGCAAAGGTAAGCTCAATTTATTCAAATCTGAAAAAAAAAGTATTTTCAAAGTATGAGCGCTGCGTAAGGTTTTATAAAACACTTATAATTTCACAGAGTAAATAGAAGAATAAAATATGTTGTGTATTTTTGTACTGTTTAGAATAAATGTATGCTAAGTGTAGATAAACAGCTTTACAAGAATGTGACGCTATTTTTCAGTCTTATTTTCTACTCTTAAGAAAAATTATATAGCTATCGACTTAATAAGGCTTACTCATAATAAGTAAACGTGTAACACTGTTAGTTAGTTTCTTTGTTTGTTATGATTTTCACGCAAAGCTACATGAGGCCTATCTTCGCTAGCCGACCCTAATATAGCAGTGTAAGACCAGAAGAAAGGCAGCTAGTGATCACCACCAACCGCCAACACTTGGGCTACTCTTTTACCAACGAATAGTTGGATTGACCATCACATTATAACGTCATCACGGCTGAAAGGGTGAGCATGATTGGTGAGACGGGGATTCTAACCCGCGGCCCGCAGATTGCGAATCGAGTGCCCTAACCACCTGGCTATGCCGAGCCAACACTGTTAGAGCAACTTGTCTGTGCTGATACTCTTAAAGTAAAAAACAAAGTATTTATAAGGTGAAAACGGCGAGACTTAGTTACTATCTGGAATTTAGATAATGCTTTTTTGTTTGTTAAGTACAAAGCTACACAATAGGCTATCTTTACTTTGCTCGGCGAGAGTATCGAAACCCGATTTTTAGAATTTTAAGCCACGAAAGGGGCTCAAAGAGCGAGCATGATAAGTTGTAATGAATGTATTACTGAGAATAACAAAATAACAAAACAATTAAGATGAAGACGTATACTTCTCATTTCAGTTACTTGATTATTTCAATTGTGAATCAACTTTTGATTATCTTAACCTATAAATGGGAATAATGTCTAAATCTCGAAACTTAAAACTCACTAGAGAGGTGGAGGGAGCTGGCTCAGCTAAAATTTATCAATATCTATATTATTTTTCCCACATTCTAATTAGTTCTTAATCTCTTAATTACCTACCATAATCCTGTTGTTATTTTTTCACTGATAAACCAAAGTGTGTATGTGTTTTTACTTACAAAAACCACTTACTTGTGTCATTCTATATCAATGATATGGTGAGAACGTATTTTTTAAATATTTGATCAGTTTCTAGCTCTGATTTTAACTTGTAGTTATTCTTCTATAAAAGTGTGATAGTTTCGTGTATTTTATTTCGTCTCGCACTATAAACAAACGTTCTACTAACTGATCTAAGAGTTTAACCCGCCAGCGATGCCTAGTAAGACACTTCTCAACAATTTAAGCTACCACATTCTTCTCCCGTCTCTCAAACAAGGCCCGTCCTCAATCTTAGACGGTCCTCCATGGTGCACTAACATCTCTATGGTAATCAAGTTTTCTTTTCATTTTATTGTATCGGAATCAAATCCGAGACATCTCGCACGCCAGGTGAGTGGTCCACCAAATCACCTACACGCCAGATGAGTAGTCTATCAACTGAGTCAAATTGTTAACCCTCTAGCACTTGCTAGTAAGGCACTTCTCAGACACTTACTCTTAAACTACCACATGAGTAAATCTACCGACATACGGAACTTATAAGATTTTCTGTCAGGGCGTCTGTTCATCAACAATGCATTAACCCTGTCGTAATTTATGTATCAGATACTTCTTACACCCGCTTATCTGAAGAACCATTTGTGTATACAATATTAAGAGTAAAAATAAAGTGCTAAAAACGAAATCCAACGTTATTTTTCATTTTTATCTGGTAAATAGGGATGAAAAAATTTGATTATTGTGAAAGAATGGTTGTAACAAAGGCAAATAAACTTTTTATGACATAAATGATCGATAGAGTAATGTGTATATCTGTATAAAACTTGAATGGTCACGTTTTGCTGGCTATTTATTCACTTTATCTAAAATAAAATAAAAAAATTATAGCCAGTGAATCAGAAAAAGGAAAAGTCACGTGAAGTATCTGCAGCAACGTTATCTCAAACCAGAATAATCTGCTGACTTCTTGGCGACTGATCAGCACAAGTCGGAAGCTATACTGGCAAGTAGTTATCCATGCTAACAGTGTGACAAGCTATTTTTTCTGGCAAGAAAAATACGTGATTAGAGACCCAACTCGAAGTCTAACATTCCACAAAATATGGGGTTATAGACCTCTCTCGTAGGGTAGCATTCCACTGAAACACATATTTTAGAAGCTGTAATTGACTAAACACTTACTTATGTGTAGGTCACGTTTATCCTATCTCTCCCACTTATTAAACTTTGTGGACTCTCTTTAGCTCAGCGATAAGGTTGAGGACATAGAATCGCTAAACAATAGAGGTTCGATCCCTGTGGAAGGCACAATGCAGACTGCTCGCTGTGTAGCTTTGCGCTCCGAACACATAAAGAAACTTTTTTTTTATCACTATAATAACTTATATCCATAAGTCTACGAGTGGATTAGCAGTAAGTTTACGGACTTATAACTCTAAAATCCAGGGTTTAATTCTCCTTGTGGACAGAACATAGATAATCTATTGTATAGTTTTGCGCTAAAATAAAAGAAATTTACAAAACTCATGTATCTATGTTCATTAAAAGTACACCGTTCAATTTTTCTTTAGGGTTTAGAGTTTAAGTCTGTCTTTGTTCCTAAAACTTGAGATAGTGGTTGTATCTTTCAGCGTACGGAAAATATCCAGTCAAGTTTTATCTAAAGTCAACATTAAAACCGTAACTTTCTGTTTATTAGAATGTTAGAATCACCATATTAAACATACTTATAATGAACCACGTCTTTTAGTTTTGATAGATAGTGTACAGGCATTATCTGAGGACGCTTCATGCGTTTTGTTCACAGCTGACGATAATAGCTCATTACGTAAATGGGGGAAGGGGGGGATGGTGACAGCAGATAATGTTTTACTTCAAACGTCACCCCGTCTTTAACTATTTTAAAATTTTATAATAATTTAGCTAAATATATATTTTCTCAATTATAAAGTTGCTAATTTTTCTAACAATTGATTGTTAAATGACCTCAGATATTTGTAAAGCTGCGTTCGAAGAAAAGTGTCTTTATCTGTAATTTAGTACAAGCTAATTATCAATTCTTCCCTAATCTGCATTTTAAAGTAAAATTTGTTTGTGTTAAACGAGTTACCGAGTAGACGTGGCCTAGTGGTTAGCGTGTTCCGACTATCAATTTGAAACTTCGTGGTTCGTGGCCCACTGCCCTAAAAACGCGCTCCGCACGTTGAGACCGTGTGTGTGTGTGCGCTAAAAAAAGTGACGGTCAAATCCCACTATTCGGTCAGACAAGAGCATCCCAAGAGTTGGCGGTGGTAACTATTGACTATTCAGCTACTGTAGTCTATCAGTTCAGAATTAGTGACCACCATGCGGTGAAGACTAACATAAACGACTATGTCCATAAAATTCTAACACCTCATGAGAATTATTCAGTAGAAAAATACTGATAGCCAACGTTAAAAGATAAAACATCAAAGTCTGTTGTCTAATGACTAATTAATCACAAAACTTATTAAGTTGAGGGTTTTATGAATTTTGGAGGGAAGTTTACTTTGTTGTTTTTTTTCAATTACGAAACACAAAAATGCTTGGTGTGAATACTGTCCGGAACACTTAACTTTGATATTTTGTTTCTATTTTATTGGTCTCTCACTATTTATGTTCACAGTGGTGGAAAGGGGCAGAAACCCGGTTCCAAAAGTAACTGTTTTTATAAGGTTGTACGCCTCAAAACCTATGATTATTGAAAAGTGGGCTAGGTTTAATAAGTCCCACCACCAACAACAAAAAAACACGCAAGTAAAAACCAGAAACACATACATTTTATAATAGCTTATTCTCTCTCTCTATATATATATTTCTATAATTGTTCAGTGCTAGTTTAACTCACTAGCTAGCTATCTGTGGTTACTTCCTGGTGTCAAGCTTTGCTTGCTACGGTACAAATTGGTTATCCTTTGTTCCAAATAATACACGATCTGCTAGTATTTTCGCTTTATCTGCGCATGCTCAGATATGTTTACACACAGTTGCTCTTTCTTTCTCACTTTGTCTGGACAATAATGAGCTACTAAATTAATTTGTTAGGCCTGAGGATTTGCACAAGTTAAATCAATTTTTTCTATCAGGTCCGGACCGGCATGGCCAGTTGTTCAATCTATCAGGTCCCATTCGTCCATTAAAAAAAAAAAAAAAAACTTTAAAAAATATTGCAATGAAAATACACGGATGACGTCATTTTTTCAGAGAAACTCTCTTTAAACCCTATATAAAAAAGTTCAG